AACTTGATAATGAAACTGATTTATGCGAGCCACAAGAAGCAGTGTTAGAACCCAGAATTTACTACTTTTTTTTGGTGTTTACGAGAACTATAAAAACTTTGAAATTTTGTTTTGTTCTGTACTTATTAAAACTGAAATTTTAGAGTTTTTGTTTTTAAATAAAATAAGTGCAGCTTTTGATACCTTTATACTATATCCTGACAATTAACATTAATAAAATTGAAAAACTCTTTAAATTTTTGGTAATCGGTGGAAGATTACACTGCTACATGGTCAGTTTCAAAACTAACATTTTTTCAAAATTTAGTTTTAAATTTCACATTTTTCACAAGTTAGTTTCAAATCTCACGTTCACCAGCATAAAGTAACAAATTAAGAGAAAAATATCATACTATCGACAATATTTAAATTTATTAAATATCATCTATATGCTTGTCTAAAAAAGGAGAATGTAAGTTTTGATCCTAGACCTCTCATGTAATTAGATATCATGGAGGCTACTTGTTTTTCATAAAACTGTACTACTTGCTCCAGGAATTCTGTACTAATACATATAGAGGTGTAAGGTTTCAGATCAAATCCATTGCGACATGGAGACAGTTTTTCATTGCATCGCTTACGTAAAGACAGATTTGTCTTTGTATACCTTTGAGATATTTGCTCTCGTAGTATCTAGATTAGGAGGCTTCAACCCCGGTAATGATTGACCTCACTACCGCTGTATACAGCAAACGCCGAGTGATGGAGTAAGATCCTCATCTTTTCCCCGTGATGTTCCTGAATTTTTATCTTTGTCGGTTATAATCAGGTAGGGTTGGATTTAGCCCAGAACATTGTGGTCTTTTTTATTTTCTATTTTCCCGTATTTAGGTGAATTTCAGTGAATAGTCCTGTGACTTTGGAAACTTTTACTGTTCCTGATGCGTTCTTACCGGTTTCGCATTCGAAGCCAACATGGTAAGAGGTTTCTTTCTTGTATATGCATAAACAGCTGAGGCTCTTCATTCCGAGCCCAGAAGACATCAAATTTTAATTTTCTCCATCTCGCTAGACCATCAGCTCCTCTCACACAAAAAGGTTCGTTTACCTATGTTTATCGTCACTTTATCGTACAGACGGCTCGCTGGCCAGAAGAAGGGACAAATAATTCTTATCGCAATAACCCACTATGTGAAATACATAACATAAAATCGAGGCAATTATGCCATGAAAGTAATTTGGTTTTCTTGAGCAAATTCACATTTACTACCTTCATTTTTCTGTAATATTCATTATTATTATTATTATTATTATTATTTTTATTATTATACTCTTCACACAGTAGTCAAAAACGAAAAATGAAACCAATTTGAAAATTTTAGAAACATCAAGCTGTATAAGGGCAAGAAGCATCAATAAAAATAGGGGTAAAGGAGGGTTGAAATTTAAAAAAATCATAAATCAAGAATTTTTAGTAAAACTCAAGCTCTATAAGAAGATGAAGCCAATTGATTCTGAAAAAATCTTAATAAATCTTAGGGTTAAGGGGAGGTTAAATATAAAAAAAATCTAACTCAAAAACGAAAAATGTTATCAACTTCAAATTTTTAGGAAAACTCAAGCCCACAGTATAAAAAAAAACTGAATAAATATTGGAAGTTTTAAGGGACGGGGATGGCGGAGTTAAAATTAAAAAAAATCATAATTAAAAAACGAAAACAGACAGCGATATCAACATGAATTTTTTGTAAAAATCAAGCTTTATAAGGATTGATTCTGAAATTTTTTTTATTAAAATGGAGGGTTAAGTGGGGTTAAAATATTTAAAAAATCCTAACCTAAAAACGAACAATATATTAAACTTAAAATTTTGGGAAAATCAAGCCCTACAAGGAGACAAAGCCTGCTGATTTAAAGAAAATCTGAAAAAAGTCAAGAGGGTTAAATAAAAAAATGGAAATCAAAAACCAAAAGCAATACCAACATGAAATGTTTGGTAAAAATAAAGAAATGAATAAATAAAAATAGGAAGATAAGGGGTATTTACAGTTTGTTTTAATAAACTTTGTTAAGTACTATGGGAATTGTACATCCTATTTTTGACCATAGTGAAACAAGAAAATGCAGAAAATGTGATTATATTGGTAATTTTATTCAATGATCTTACAGTTCACCAGGTTGACCATAAGGTCGTATTTAAGTAATGTAGATAATCGTTTTTAAACTCTGAAGCACTTTATACTACAGTAGTTTTCCATTTGTTCACTGCCTGATAAGCAGAGGTTTTGCTTATCCCAAATACAGGTTCGGTTTTGCTTATCCCAAATACAGGTTCGGGTCCTGTAAATGGAAGTTATGATCCCTGTTGGGCCAATTTATCAGTCTTTTCATTTCAGAACAATTTCAGACCAGATTTGACTTGATTCTGTTTGAACCAAACAACAGCCAACCAGTCATTAAAGCTAGTTGGCTGTTTGTGAGAATTAAGATGGTTTGTTTTTTATTTCCTTCTTAAATTATCTTAAACACACAACTCGATTGTAGTCTAAATTAAACTGTATAATATGGCTTTAAGTATCTTCCAAGGAAGCACGTGCTCAGTATATACTTTTTAGAATATACTTTTAAGGCACGTACTTTATACTTTTTAGAATATACTTTTAACGTATTCAATATATACTTTCAAAGTATATTCTAGGCATGTTCTACGAACACTCTAAAAAGGACATACCAAAAGGTACTTAAACAGACCGTTCTCAGTAAATTCGTAGAACATTGGTGTTATGTGAGGTGTATTTGAGTTTAACTCCATGTGCTCCAGACCCTTTTCCGTTGATATTTTTATATGTGTGATTTAGGGATGTGTTATACTTTCCCTTTCAGACGATGTTCCTGCATACTGTTAGGACCTTCCTGGCTTAATTATTTTTCGCTGTTGTCATACATAATTATTACACCCTGTAGTATGCATAACTCATACTGATCAGTACAAATAACTTCCAAGATAAAACAATTTCTATATAACCAACTGCGGTATGTGAGTGATTCAATGCATTATTTGTACTGATCAACGGCGTTTAATGAAATATTTAAGGATGCCAAAAGTGAGGAATAGAGGAAGTTCTTCTATTAGCCTCTTTAACTGATATTTTATTAAAATAATATAGCCAATGTTTAAAAGAGAAGGGAGTAGTTTTGTTTTAAAAATAAACTATAATCCATTTGAGTACAAATTAATAAGAGTAATAATTTTCAGGAATACAAACATTTAAACTATAATTTTCTTTAATAAATATACATTGATCATCACTATCAATAATCAATAATTTTAAATTTAAATAAAGAAGATGGTGCAATTCTAAAGAGATTTATTAAAGGTGTGTGTGAATTCGAGAACTATGGCTGCGGAATCTGAATCCATTTGCCAAGATTTATTAAAGGTATATATTATAATCCTAATCCTCACCAGCCAAAATATCGAACCACTTGGGACCCTGATTATGATATTTAAAATCTTTATGTCCTTTAAGTGCCATATCTTGTTAAGTAAAAGGCTGGATGTTCAACGTTCATCACACGTAAAGGGTGAATGTCCATAGTGGTTTAAAAAAATTCAAATAAATATTACAAAAAATAAACTTATATTTTAAATTAAAAAGACTCACAATCATATACATATTGTCTCCCTCTTTCTTCTCTCCTATCCCCTACAAGTCGTCTTCTGCTGACTCCTAATTGTCGTCTTCTTCTTGCCTTGTCTTCTTCTTTCTCCAGGTATTCTATTATTCCCTCTAGATCCTTTTTCTTTTCTTGAAATACCTTGCATTTGATCTGAATTTTTGGTAACTCATCCACATCGGGAAGTACTTCAAGATTTGCATTTTTCTTTAAAACATCTACCTTGTCCCAAGTTACCATATTATCACTTCAATACCAGGATTCTTGTGCGAAATAAGAAAATTTGAAATTTTACTGATTCCAAGGTTTCTAGTGTTGAGGTACTTCTTTGAAGTCAATAATATTTTCAGATTTCATCGAAACAATAGTAAGGAGGTCTCTTACACACACAGTAGCAACAACACGTTCAAGATCTTTTGGGACCATTGCTTTGCATGTTTTACGCCGCTTTTCAATGAGACCGAAGTCCCGGTCGCAGTTCATGTAACTATGTCCACTAACCAAGTACTTTAAATCTATCGAGCGATAAAACCCTTTTTTAACAAGTAAATTACTGCCATTAGGAGGAACTGGTTCTTGTTTTGTGCTCCACAGTTGTCACACCATAAAACTAACCTTCTTCTTGTTAACAAGGCCTCAGAAGTGACAACCTTAAAGAAGCAAGATGATATATTATTGGCCCCTCGATCACCAATCCCTTCGTGCCACATACACATAATGCAAACCAATGGTTACTCACATGAATTCACAAGTTGTAACATGAGAGCTGCCGGCAGTAAAAATATCACTGTGTGTAAGCATTGGTACAAACATAACTTGTTGCAAGTCCATACATAAGCAGTTATTATTACTACTTAAAAGTTGTGATGATACAATGTCTTCCTTCATTCACGCTTATGCTTTTTCTGATTTTCTATGGTGTTACTCCTGCTTTATTTTTATAGCATTTCTGGCAATTTCACTGGCAGCTGCTTGAGTTTAAACTTTAAACACGTCACATTTCTTACAAGTATCTGTTGCTAAATATTTGAATTTTGGTTTGGGAAAGTCTTGTTGAAAAACTTAAGCATAGTTTTTGCAAGTTGCTTCAGTTGTTGAAGTTTGGGCTTTAAAATATTAAAAAACACTGTTTTTGTTTATGTCCAGGGATAAAAACTCACTTGTTGTTCTTTTACGGGAATAGTGGCTTCCATACCTGGGAAACGAATTAATGTAGTGCCGAACTAGATTTCGATCATTTTCTGTGAATGTGGATTCTGACCTCTGGTATCTTTGTAAACCAAGCAACCCTGTTTCTTTTTTGTTTGAAGAGTTTATAGTTTCCTGGGAGTTACTCCGAAAATCTAACGAAATGTTTTACTACGCACTTGAACATTTTTACCCGAACCATCTGGCACACTGTAAATAAAACTGCAAGAACGCCTATTTTCCTCTGGGTCATCGTAATTTCCATTACGCCTACGGCCGACAGGTACAAGGTGCATATGGTTAAGTAAGTAGGTACCTTGGTTTTGTTCATTAACTTTGTAAAAATCCATGAACAGTAACTGTTTTTGGTCATGAGTCAAGTTTTTACAAAAGTACTTGCATGAGCAAGTGGCGACATTAGGGGGACTAGGTTTACCTGGTACGTTTTTTCCTTTCCTAGCCGTATAAGGTTGTCTTTTTCCTCGTGCTTTCCTCTTTTCTTTTCGAAGGTGGGCTTTCTTTGGCGGTGGCGTTTGATTTTCACTCATTTTGAAATCACACCAAATGTAAACTTTTCACAAAATACACACTATGACAGCAAAAGTGCAGAAACTATTCGTAGTACGCGAAAACGCAGGAACTAAGCAACACTTTTTATTCGAACGCGCCAAAAGCAACTACTGCAATGAAAAGGCACATTTATCATGGCGGGTGGCACTTTTAGCCTTTTCCACTGAGGGTCAGCGGGCGCTTTCACAGTGCTGCTCCTTGCGACTGCTCTAGGAACTAGTAGGAATTTTTCTGGCACTTTTAACCTTGTCTAGGTTGTTGGCTATGCCGCTTACAATACATTCCATGCAAAAATAATTTTTTTATTTTTTCAGCCTCTTCCATTTCCCCTACGCATCATGTAGGACAACAGCAAAGAATAATTAACGGATTGATCTACTTACCTGTAAGGATGATCGATCTGAATTATTCGAGCTGTTGTCCGTAATGATTATTACGTCCCATCCTTATCCCTATTCCATCGCAATCTAATAAATCAAATAATGCAATGAATCACTCACATTTGGTTATATAGAAATTGTTTTATCTTGGAAGTTTTTTGTACTGATCAGTATAACAATACAGGGTGTAATAATCATTACGGACAAAAGCTCGAATAATTCGGATAGATCATCCTTACAGGTAAGTCGATCAAACCGTTAATTTATTACGAATATTTCATGTGTTTACGAAATAATGAATTTACTCCGTTCATTTGTACCATATTGTACTTAAAAACAGGCTCTGAAATATGTAGAAAGGACGACAAAGAGCAAAGAATGATGCAATAATATATTAATTGCCTTGTTCTCCGACAAGATAAAGTCTAATTTATTTCGTACCATTAATATTAAAAATTTGTATACGGGCTATGAAATGTAATTGTAAATTCATCTAAGGAATATTATAGTTTGTTTTATTTGGTGAATTATAACTAGAGGGAAATTACTGGTCTAAAGCTCTTTACAATTCCAAAATAAGCTGACATTTTCTGTTAAAAGCTCTTTAGACAAACAGAATACAAAATAAGAATACTTAGCTTTTAAAATTGTATACGTTAATACGTTAAATTTTATACTTATATATAAAAATAATACTTTGTCATGTTTCTAGATGAAGTAGATAGACGACATTCCTCGTACACCAACAAAATGGTGCTTATTTATCAATTACTAACATTTTTAAGTAGAATTTGGAAACACAAATTATTTTGAATAAACTTCTGAGCATTTATGACGGTAAATGAACTGCCATTTATTTTGAGACGTCATGTACTGCTAACAGTTTATATAAGTAATTTTGTTTTAAAAACACTCTGTATATAAATAAGAAAGCAACAGAAAACAGCGACGAAAACATTTTTTTATATTTTAACTAAGTATAAGTATAGGTTTTTATTTAAAATTTCAAGGTTTCATAAAGTTTTGGAACATTCAAAACAAATAAAGGAGTTGGATACAGTAATACCTCTAGAGACTGTTTTAGGTAAAAAGTAAGAGGACTGGAATAATTATTTTTTATTTGTTTGAGATTATTCATTTTATAAACAACTAAACTTCCTCGAGATGGCGAAAAAAATGACAGCGATTTTTTGTCATACAATAATTTTATTTTTATATAAACTTTATTACTCAAGAGTATCAGTAGTTGAATATATTGTTACCCCGCACACTACAGTGTACTGCGGTAGTTAAGTAAAGGTGCGAGTAAAAGATGAAAGGAGATTATTCGAAATTTGTCGAGAAATGTCGAGAAATATCCAGAAATGTCGAGAAATGTCTAGAAATATCGAAAAATGTTGAGAAATATCAAGAAATGTCAAGAAGTGTCGATAAATGTCGAGAACTGTCGAGAAATATCAGTTTACGTCCAGAAACATCTGGATGTTCGAGAAGGTTCTGTCAGTTTTATGATAGACGTTATACGTTAATGTTATCAGTTGAATTATTGTAAAAGTTAAGTTGAAATAAATTGAGTTACCAAAAACCAGCGTAACTTGGTGAAAGCGGTGGGATATAAAAGTTACCCAAGCATTCTATTCATGGTAAATACTAGATCCACTGCGCACAAAACAATTATGGATACTTTAGGCCCACCAGCATGGGTTTTGAAAATGGATGAGAACAGAAAGAAGCGAGAAGAGGAAAGAGAAAGGCGAGAAAAGTAGAAGGAGGAGAGGCATATAAAAGCAGAGGTGAATATTATGAATAGCTTGCTACTAATTCAAGAAAACTTCAGACAAGTGGTGTTGAGCTAAAAGGTCGAATAATTCTCTTAGTACACAAAACTAATTTAAAACAACAAGAAACTGCTTAAGTATAAGTAGAAAGGCAAATTAGAACTGAACTAGTTGAGTTACAAAGAAGAATTTGTAGTCTAGCTTTGGTCATGTCTAAAACCCATTTTCATAAAGCCATACACTAGTAAGACCATTAAGCCACCCACATTTGACGGTAATACAACATAAAAAACGTATTGACTTTAATTGGAAGCTGCAGCTAGAGTCAATGGCTGGGCTGAAAAAAAAAATGGAGGCTTCATTGTTGCTAGGACATACAGCAACTGTTCTACAGTTACTTCCCCCAGAAAAACCAAGCTTTGGAGACAAGATGTGGCCAACACCATTTAAAACAGGTATTCTAAAGCCAGCTAAAGGTTCGTAGCCAGAAACATAATGAGAGACTACAGGTCTACAGGAATTCGAGGCCGACATAAGAAGATTGATTTATCTGGCTTATCAACAGGCGTTCAACGATTTCCAAAAACAAATCGGAATACAGGCATTGATTAAAAACTACAAGATGTAGAAATGCAGCAAGCAATCAAAATAACAAAGTTAAAGGGCAGTTAATTATAAATTTCAAAAGGGCCACAACGATTTTACAGTTGCATATAGGAAACACTTAAAAATTATCAACGACACATCAAATGATTTTAAAGTTACTTGTGGGAGACATTTAAAACGCCGTTAATGGCCCATCGAATAATTAAAGTTAAAAGGCACTTAATTACAAATTTCAAAAAGGCATACGATTTTGCGGTTACAAGTTACTTTGCCATCACATTCATTAAAGGGCCAAAAACTTGATATAACTTTAATGAAAAGGTTTGATTTAAATTTTCTCTAGTAATACCACTAGAGGTCAAATTATTTCCGGAAATTTTTTCGAGCTCATGAATATTTTGAAAATTTCCCGAGTCGCAGACGAGGGAAATTTTCTAAAAATATTCAATTATGGTTGAAAATTAAATATTTTTAAAATTTATTTTTCGTTTCTCAACAATGCAAATTATTTTCTCCAAGTCGCCAGTGAAACATAAAAGGTGTTGTCGCCTTGATTGTTGAGTTGTCATGGTAACTAAGTGAGACCCTAACCTCGAATATAATTTCAGTTTTGAAGTTGTCAAGCGGCCCGACGTAAAAAAATGTTTCGCTGCAATTATTTAGGCCTTCAAATTGCTTATTTCTACTCATTGTAGTTGCATGGGAATACCATTTGAAAATAGAAAATAGTATATTCTTTAATTTTACGTAAGTTTTGAATAACTACAAGTGGTAGAAAATTGTTTTTCTGCGTTTTTATTAACATGCGTTATGAGCGCTTTAAAATGGTATGAAATTCATAACCAGCGTCAGCAAGCATCAATCGTAGGAGGCTGTGATCATTGTATTTTGACAGTTCAAAACATTAAATAACTCGCGTTTTGTTGCGATAAAGAATATTGCACAGCAAGTAAAACCAACAAAATTACCTATTTGTTTAAAAATGAATTGATTTGAAAATCATACGTTATGCAAAATATACGTGAAATTGTCTGATGTAATGATCAATCATTGCACCATGACTTACTTACTCGGATTAATAGAGGATTGTGGCTCCAACTTGAAAAACGAAAATTTGTTCCGAATTGTCCACGAATATTTGCACCTAAACTACGCAAAATTCAAAGTGCTGAATGGGAAAAAGGTGAATAAATTAGTGTCTAAATATTATATATATTTTATTAGACATAGACACATAATTCAAAGCATCCAAAGTCCTGCATTTTCGCCATTAAGCAGAAAAGAAGTGGCTGAAGAATATAGAAAACACCTTAGCATTGTAACTAAAATGTATCAAAACTAAACCTATTATGTGAACAAATAAAAACCAGTCTGTCAAAAATGGTCTGTTATTGTAAACGTCAAAAAATTTCCAGTATAATTCGCTGTTGGGTACCCCACGAGAAAAAAATTTCCACTAAAATACCTCCGTTGCCATGGTGATCTGTCAAAAACACGTATTTTGATTGGTTCAAAATTACAGGTGTGGAATTTTCAGAATTATTCATTTAGTTTAGGTTGCACAATCACCTAAATCGCCTAAAAGCTAATTATGTAAGGCGCAAAAAAGTTTTATTTAAAAAGAGTTATGACCATTTAAAATATTGAAAATTATTGATTTACTAAAAATAATATGTATACTATTTTACTGATATGTTTCACGAAAAATTTTCAGAAAATTTAATTGAGTTACATTTCTATAAAAATTATTATGAACTAGTAATTTTTCAGGAAAAATCTTCAATTACCTGTCAACGTCGAATTTAATAAAAAAAATTGGTTGTAAAGCCTATTAAGGATAAAACCAAATAAAAAACACAGGATGCTTCATTTACAAAATGACCTTAATATTTGTTCTGGGGTTATAAAGCATACTATATATTATAGTGGAAATTATTTTGGAAATGTAGTTTCTCTGACGCTGTATAAAATTTCTAATTTAGCGAAAATAATTGTCCCACCTCGTATTAAATGATATTTCAATAAATATGTAGTTTTCGATGAAAACTGATCTCATCTAAATAACCAAGAATATTTAAAATTCCAATTCAATCATCAACTAAATTTTAGTAGACTATTATTTCTATCTATGTTAAAATTTTAACAATTCGCTTTATCCATTTATTCAATTTAAGTTGAACTCATATACCGCACGAATGAAGTTTGTGTACACAT